AATTTAAATAATTCCTGAGTCCATACACACATATTCCTTCCCAAAAATCATGTATCATATCAAAATATACGTTATATGTAATATGAAAAGAAGGAATGCGGTTAAAAATACTGTCAGCCTTTATGCCGGTTTGCGATACGTCATTCAGTTTTAAATCTTGCTCGTAATTCTCTATTGTACTAAAACTTTGCTCTTACTCACAGACATCAGTCTCTCTCTCCGTTCTGTTTCTTTTACACATTCGGCAATAAAAGTGAACACGTACTGATTCAAAGAGATCTAGGATTCCGGACAACCCCAAATTGTCACCAGTAATAAACCCTATCATAAAATGAACTAGTATGTTTCTGTCTTGATACTTTACTTCTTGCCCTTCCGTTTCTAATTCAATTAGCACATCTGTGAGGTTGCTAAATAGGTCTTCATTGCTAAATTCTTTCCTGTCTACGGACAAAACATATCCTGCTACAAGAATGTTCACTAATTTGGCTAAAATGTATCCCGGCAAACTTGGGATGTAGTAGTAAATAACACATACTGAGGTTTGAGCTGCATGTGGAGAAACGGTGTCCCCTGAAGTAAAACCATCAAAAAATAGATTCAATGGTATGATGATTTTCGACGATGCGAAATGTTGTGTCCTTTTCTTCCATACAGAACCATCAATGATGCTGCGAATATAGCCATCGTTAGATGGAGCAAGGTTCTCCAAAACAGTTTTCATAACGTTGTTCGATTCTAAATATTTTCGAAGATGGAATTTGATAGGCATTAATATTCCTGAAATTATGAAAAAAATGCATCATGTACTAAATTTCCTCAAAACTAACCTGTTTTTGGGTCACTATCCATTACTTGACCACTTCTTGATACACCTGGACGCAGTTCGTTACTAATAACGAATTCCTTTGGAGCAAGGTAGAGGTCGGCAGATTTTAATTTTGCTATACGCTTAAATTCCGTATCGGCACCCCCTAATGCTTCAAACATTTTGTTGAACATGTACTTCCCTTCCTTTGAAATTAAGCCAGTTGCTCCCATTAGTTCTGTTACTTCCAAAAACTGTTTTATCATTTTCGTCTGTATATCGTTGTGTACTTCAAACACAGTTTTTCTTGGCAAAGAGTTCATATTTAACCATTTCAGATTGAAATCTATAGCTATGTTTTCCATTTTTGCTAGCACAACGTTCAAATCTATAACATCATTTGACTTTTGTGCTCGTATCGATCCTGGTAAAAACGTATCATCCCTGTTTTGTACTCCTTTGTTTTCTTTACTTTGTCCGGATGGAACATTTTCGGAATTTGCTGCGACAAATTCGTTTGTGGTGTATTCGTTACCAGGCATGGAAAATCATTTGCATTCATTTCGTGCATTCATTTACATTCATTTGCCTCTAACTTTTTTAATCAACAGTATTTCACAAAATGATGTATGGAGCTTTTGTAGGTTTTGTTATTAGCTACAACTTTGGTAAACAAGTCAAATCAGTATCTCTGATGCATGACGAACCAGAGCGAACAGAAGCCACTACTGTTTTTCAGTGAATGTATTTTACATTCACTGAAAAACAGTAACAAGTTCTGCCCGCTCTAGTTCGTGATGCATAAGAGATACAGATTTGAGTTATGAACAAAAGTTGTAGTTAATAACCGAACCTACAAAAGCTCTTTACATCATTTTGCGTATTGCTATTGATGGAAAAAGTTAGAGGCAAATGAATGTAAATGAATGTACGAAATGAATGTAAATGATTTTCCATGCCTGTTCGTTACTAACAGTTATGTTTTGACTGGATTCGTCTTCCATGAGGTGCTTTTTAAGATGGCGAAAAAAGGAGTATCGTACGCAGAATCTTCTTGTACAGACTTCGTGATTACAAGCATAAAAACGATGTAATGAATTTGATTTCCATGGACATTGTGGGACAATACAACAAATCATTGTGCTGTTGCTTTAGCACGGATAGCTGAAATCAATGACGCGATGTTGGCTTGTTCACCCGGGGGGCTAAAATGCCATTTAAAAAACCAGCCCAGCGATCAAAAAGGAGCTTCTCTTTATCGGGAAATTGCTGCTGGAAGTCTATCTGTTCCAGTTGATAACCTTGATGGTTTCTCAGTACTGGATATTCAGACAATACCAGCGAAGCTGTACGGTTTTCGAGTTTAGATAATTCATAAATCCTCTGCGTGCTGGTTATTCTCCATTTAAGTTTAACTTCGTCCCATTCGTCTTGATTGTGTGATATCCAATTTTTGATTTGCCGGAAGTCTGCAACTATAAATAAGAAATAAATTAGAGGTAGGTAATACATAGATACACTGCAGATTTTGCTTTTAACTTACTTGGCTGATCTGTGAAAAGGTTCACTACTTCAGTTGTTTGATGATGCAACGATGATGACTGTTTCGGTTCCTCTTTTGCAGCTTCCTTGTAGTTCACGTTACGATCGTATAATCTTCCTTTAGCCTGCTTACGTAGCTTAATCCTTTTACCAGTACTGTCCTTTGTCCATGTGGGCAGGTACCAACTTTCCTTCAGAAATATTGAAAATAGTATGTATTTACCGTTACAATTGTTTTTTTTTATATATAAATAAAAAAACGAAGCGCATTTAGTTGCGGTGTCGCCACATGAAAAACTAACTAGCTAGACGTAATTTTTTAGGTTATGATGCATTTTGCACTGTAAAAGACTGGTGTAAGCTTAAATAAACTGAAGCTTTCTTTAGTGATGCTACATTTCGTATATACTGTACCTGTGGCTCGCTTGGGAACAGATTGCGTAGTTCAGCTGCTCTATCCAGCAATTCGGCAGGGGTAAGCTTGGAAAACTTATCTTTAAACTCATCCACAACAATGTGCGTGATGATCTTTTTGTCGCCTCTCGACAGGAAATCAGGCATAACATTTGATAACGGCACAAAAGCATTTGTAAGCAAACTTTCTAAGGCCCTTTACACGTCAACCAAAGTACACCCACGCAAACAAACAACATCATCGGATAGGGGCAACTATCACCTTTCCGAAAGTGGTATTGGTTTGCGTAAGCGTACTTTGGTTCGTGTGTAAAGGGCCTTAGAAAGTTTGTTTACAAATGCTTTTGTGCCGTTATCAAATGTTATGCTTGAAATTATCTTATTGATATTTGTGGATGATTATCTGACCCTTGGGCGAAGAGCCAAGTAAATAAGTAGCCGTGCTGTTTTGTCGAGTTACTTTGTTTTCTGCGGTACCAGCGATTATCTGCAACGGCGCAAGCTGTTCCGTTAGGATGGAAATGCCCTGTGAAAGAGAAAAATAGCGGCATTATAAATTAAATATATAATGATCATAAACTGTGTCAATATTTTTTATGAGAAAATAATATTCATATTTACCTGTGCTTTCCTCCAGGTGTTCAGTCCGAAAATAAATTTTGTTCGCTCTGCCAAAAAGGGGACCGGAATTGGTTCTTCCACTTCACGACGCTCGATGATCCTTAATGTTTCGGCAGTGTACTCGTTAGCTGGAACAAACTATTAATTTAAGGATTTTTCATCAATTAAATGCAGAAATTACTCACCGATAAAACAGTCAATGATCGCCGCAGACAGTCCAGAGCTGTTTAATATCTCCACGACCTCTTCAATAAACTCTTCCGACGAACTCATTTTGATTTTTAGATGTCACAAAATGGCGGTCACTTTGCCGACTGCTCTTGACATATACACTGACGAAATGTATCAACACACTTTTTTTTAATCGACTATATTTTTAAACTCATTTTTTTTTTAATTTATAAGAAAATATTGTAGATTCAATAATAACTAATTTTTTAAATAAAAATATCGAATTGTTGAATTCAAAAATTATATTTTTAGTTTCAACTACATGAAAATTCTCTGCGTGTATCAAATGGCACTAGTGGTTAGCGACTTTTTCGAATGAGATACGATAGGTCCTTGTAGTGAATGGGATGAGGACTATAAGAAAAGTTAATTTGATTAGTCAAATTTTAGTCGGTCACTACAGTCATTCAAAACAACTTTACTGAAGACAGCAAACTTCTATCTAGTCGTACTGTCAAGTTAAACCAAGCATTAAGTCAAATTGCAAACTAGTGTCCCCTGGTGAATGAATTCTGAACTGAGCTGTCCATTATCGACTAGGTCTTATTTATCAGACCAACTTTGTCCACGTTGTCAACGTTGTCCTGAAAGCTGTATTTTTGAAGGTCCAAATCACCTAATATCACACATCAGGTAGAAAAGGATAATTATTGTTAAAAAGTGTTAAGTGTTGCAATGACCTTTAAATGATGAGGAGGAAGGCTTCTGGTTTTAAGAGTTGAAATAAAATACGTGTTGTTCTTTGGGTCGTCACTTAACCTCTGATCACAGACAAACAGACGTAACTCTTTGAAAAACTTGTTCTTGAAAACATAGTATCTCAAAACATATAACCTCAGTAACGACATCTCTCTGGCTTCTCGCGGAAAACAAGCTTGCTCGCTAACTCGTAAACAATATTGCATAAAAGTTCTATAGAATATATAGAAACGTCAAAGTGATCCGATGCCAGCGCTGCGGCGAGTAGTTCGCGGAACTGATTATATTCAAATCAACCGTTAAATGCATGAACGAAGATACACAATGAAGAGTTACGTCTGTTTGTCTGTGCTCTGATCATGATTTATTTCGCCTGTTCGTTACAAGCTAAACTTCTCCTATGTTCCTTTTTCTATCTCGATGCTCTCTCAGTGCGAGTTCTCAATTCGTGACTACTTCAAGTGTTAAGTGTTAAGTCACCAAAAAATGTGTGCTTAAGGTGCTCATTATGCCCCTTTCCCTATGTATATTGCAAATCCTGTTAAAAACTTCTATATAAAATGAAATGTTACTGCTATTTGAAAAATTATCAAAAAATCAGCATCATGTACACTGTTCTCTCTTGGCAGCATAAGTCAACATAAGTAAGTAAGAGTAATATAAAATATCCGTTTATGTACATCTAAGTAATTTCAAAATAAATTATCAACGACGGATAGAGTTAGGATTCATCTTTGATGGAGTTCAGTTGCCTTTCAACATCCTTTATGAATCGATCAGGAACCTTGCTTTCTTTCATCATTTTGATTTTGTTAGAAATCGTAGATTTGACGGCCCTTAAAAAAACAAATTATTATAATTGTAAAATGCTGGATGTTTCTATACTTACATTTCACGTTTTTTAATTGCTTCTTGCATAGCTGTATGTTCTTTTATCGAACAACGTTCTAGTTCACGGCGTTCCTGCTCTTTCTGGTTAATTTGTTGAATAATTTCTATGGATAAATAAGAATTAAATGTATCAAATTCTGAGGCATACGACCATAATTATGAATTACAAAATTTACTGATTAAAAAAAAAACAACCCTATAAACATAGTTTGTTTTGCCGAGATTGGCACCGCCGACCACAAAATGGATGTTTGTTAGCTGAGATCTTAGCTAAATTCTCGTTTGTTAACTGAATTTTGGCAAGATTTGCACTGAGATCCAGCAAAATAAAATGTTGAGCAAGGGTTGAATATTTTATTGACGTACATGACGTGCTTTTTTATCACACTTTTAGCATTTTGAAGCAGACCAGTTTTAGTTGCAACCAGCAATATTATTGACAATACAATTGAGTATTAACAATATTTTTGCTAGTACAATTACCGAGATGGGCACCACTAAGTGCTCGCTAAATTTGCCGGGATCTCGGCAATCATAAAATTCAATCTTGGCATTTTTTGTCGAAAATCTCAGTTAAAAATTAACTGATGGCTTGGTTAAAGCATCCCTAAGGTAAAAAAAATACTGAATCTCGTCATTTTTTTTATTTTGATTGCTTCGGTTAAAGAAAAGGAAGAAAAAAGATTGTGATGTGAAAAAATTGCAAAATAAGAAACACTACAATGTAATTATTGTTCTGCATATTTATTCAAAAACCATAAACAGAAAGTTGCTAAACTTGTTACCGGTTGTAATGATTTGTTCAATTTTAAAACAAGTGGAGAAAAACAAAGAATAGGCGAACATGCTACTCTATATACCGCGAACCGCGAACGTCTCACAGAAAAGCACGAAAGCCTGCAGTACATCCGGTCCTGTTCCGACGACTACGTTATTGCAAATAACCTGACACTTTCCTTCCTCGAACCCCTTAAGTCATCCTTTTGCACTTGATCTAGAACTTGATCAATGAACGACGTGTAAATATTTACAACATCGACAAAATTTGATTTAATCTCAGGTAAGCATGACATTTTGATCTTTGAAAACAACGCAAATGAAGCAGGGCTGGTGGTGTAGTGATCGACGAAAAAAAAACAAGGAAAAAACAAATAACGCAAATTAAAAAAAAAGAGATCTGTCATGATTACCTGAGTTTTGTCAAAAAACATAAATATTTGCGCTGTGTGGTGCTCGGATCTGTCTTTTTAACGAAGTGTTGGTTTCTACAAGGAAAGCATTTCGCGCCAAATCGATTCGAAGCTGGCAACACCCTCTCAGATTTCTACGAATTTTTCTGGATGTGTAGACTTTGACTAAATAAGCACTTTTTGCATACTCAGTTTTTCCAAAAAAAATCTAGACTAACATTTGAGAAGGGTCAAACTTTTTCTGCTGATTTTTTTCAAAAAAATATTATGGAAAAATGACAACTCCTACAAAAATGTGTTGTATGGATGACTTTTAGGAAATTGTCCCAATTATCGAAAACAAAGAACTGAAAAAATCAAATAGAGACCTACACTGAGACAAATATAATCAATTATATTATATTCTAATGATATAAGCCCTTTTCATATAGAATTCTCGATTAATCCAAGTGATCAGTTGCTGATAAGACAAAATTGAATCACAAATTGAGCTTCATTGGGTTCTGAGATGAAAACTTTTTTTCTTTAAAAGTGCCCATCTCGCGGTGTATGAACGGTTGGTAGTAGACATAATTACCTATCTTGAGACAAAGTTTCATCCAAATCAAACATGGCCATTTTTTTTTTAAATCGACTTCAAATATTAAAAATTGATTTTTTTTTTCAATGGAATGGAATTCTTTCAATATTTTTTTTTTTTTTGATAATTTGGACAATTTCCTAAAAGTCATCCATATTTGACATTTTTGTAGGAGTTGTCATTTTTCCATCGTATTTTTTTGAAAAAAATCGGCAAAAAAAGTTTGGCCCTCCTCAAAGGTTAGTCTAGATAAATTTTGGAAAAACATAGTATATGCAAAGTGGCTTATTTAGTCAAGATCCACACATCCAGAAAGTTTCATTGAAATCTGAGAGGGTGCTGACAACTCCGAACACGATTTGGCGCGAAATGCCTCAAGGATGGTTTCATTGACAAAATTGTGCATTTTATGGTTCTGAGAAATGTTGTCGAAATCATCAAATACCTTAGACTCACTGAAAATAAAAAATCGGCTTTAAAAAATTTCCTAAAAAAAACAATTATCATGTAACGTTTTTAACTCAAAATGCTTAAATGTTCCCAATAACTACAAGTTTGTGATAGGGGAAATGGATGTAATGTCGGCCTTAAGGGGAAGTTTACCGCCCCGAAAATAAAAAAAAAAATATTTTCTGTACGTTTTTATTTTTTATTGGGAAAAATTATCAAAAATCAAAGAAAATCAGTTCTTCCTTAGATTTTTGTCAAAAATTACATGTAAAAATATTTTTTTCTATCTCATCATGGAAAAAAATTGGACTCTCAGAAAAACCGAAAAGTCGATGTTTTGTGGCATAATGACTCATAAAAAATGTTTTTGCACATGTGAAAAAATGTGATTTTTTTGGACTTTTGATACCTTTTTTCAATATTTTTAGAAAAATCTAACGTAATTATTATTTTTTCGGAGCGGTGAACTTCCCCTTAATGCCCCTAATTTGGGCCCATACATAAAATCAGCAATCGACTAAATCTTCAATAGCGACCAAAAATATCCATTAGTACCGTCACAATGACGCGTTCATCTATATAAAATTGATAAATAGCAGCTTTTAGCGATGCGTCCAATCTTAGATCCATAGGCCAACATTAGATCCATTTCCACTATCTCATACATGTTTATAAAAGTATTTTCAAACATTTTTCAAACTAGTCTTTATGAAAATGCCATTTACTCAAATTAGGACAGGAATGGATGGACAAATTTATTCCGAGTTATTAGCGTAGACCTATAGTTGTTCCTTTTTAATATGCATAGCACAACGGAGATCAGCAAACATGTTTATGAACCGTCAATCTACCCGTCTACAGTATCCTCCACTCATCCGACAAAATCATGGCCAAACTATCGGGGTTTGACGAGCTAATCTGAAGTGAAATCCAAACCAAAATAACCAAAACAATCAGACAGCACGAAAATTGGCAGCACAATGTATTCAAACGCGTGTTTATACTTTTTAATCCGACATTTTACGGATTATCGAGTTTTCGGATTAAAGAGTGTCGCATGAGCTGTATATTGTACTGTAATTAGTTTAATTTGAGAGTTATGCAGTTTTATGAACATTCCTAGCGAAAACCTATTTTATTTGATGATTTTTAGCACATATTGTCAAAATAACGTTGGGCCATAAATAAAATGGGGCAAAAACGGGCAGTCCATTGTTTGCTCACATGTTCTTCAATTTTACCATTTGCTTTCCTGAAGAGTAAAAGACCGGGTACAATAAGGCTTTTTTGATACACTATGTATAAATTAGCTGAAAATGTCTTCAAAAAACAAGATTTTGCACGTTTGATTCAATGTTGTCTCTTCTTGACATCCCAAAATTATCAGGTTCTAGGATGCTTCTGTCAAAAGATAGTCCTAGCGCCATCTGAACGGCGTTATCCGGAACTAAATTAATAATGTCAAAAGATAGTCCTTATCCACCTGAACAACTTTCGCCAAGACACCAAACCTCTAAGATGCATGGGTGGAGCGCTAAGATTGTTGCTCAGCAAAAGTAGGAGAAGACGGGGTATGACGGCGACCCTAAGCTTGAAGTAAAATTTATCCAAAACTGTATATAATTTCCGCGATTGTCACGACGAGACCCCCCGTCGCAACTCAACTGTGGCCGGCAGAGACAGACCGATCTACAATGGCCTGTCGGACGATCCTCTGACAACGACGGGACAAAGGAGAAAAACGTAAACATCATTGGAACAATACGGTATTCAGAAATCGATCGTAGATGTTCAGTGATTTATTGAGTTCTATAAAAACTTAATATTCCTACAGTAAAAGTGTCTAACGTTAGTCTAGTTGATTATCCTAAAACTTAAACTAACTTACCTAGAGTAAATACAGTTACGTAAACTAATTAGAACGAAACCCATGCTAGTGATTAATGCTAATATGTGCTATCACGGGAATTGTTGTTTACACCAGGTAACATGTGTATTCCTTTGGAATCGGTAGAAACCGAATTCTTACGCTGATTTATGCTTTAATTTAGGACATCTACTACATGGGTTAGAACTTCAACGCAACTAGAACATATTAAAGCTACTTATAACCATAATTAGATCGTAAGTAAATGAAATTATTATCGCTGTTACATAACCTAAATATGCCTATATGCAGTACAGTAAATTCCCAAATTAATACCCGTGAAGGCGTGATAGGATCCTAACATTTCCTAAGGTCACCAAAATTGTAAGTTTGCGAGGAATATTGAAGAGAAAAGATATAATAAATTGTTTATTTTAGCTTAAAGCTTACCGCACAACAAAATCGGTTTGCTCACTGGAGTTGGAAACTTACCCACAACATTCTTTAAGAATTTTGTACGTGGGTTGTCGGAATGGAAGGACATCACAACCAATCGACGTATCAATGCAAATCATGCGATCGTCCAAATTGGGCAGATACGCATATGGTTGCATGTGATCAGTGCCGTCAATGGGAGCACTTTATTTGTGCCGGCGTGACTCAAGCCGTGCAAAGACGTCCATACATTTGTAAGCAGTGCCAGGAGGAAAATGCAGCGTCCCTCCGAATACTGCGGCCACGTTCAAGAGGTAACCAGTCCACTAAAACGTCTGAAGGGAGGCCATCCAAGACGTCAGAGGTAAAAGTTTCTTCAGACAGAGGAAGTAAAGCGCAATCGGCTATCCGGAGCAACAGTACTAGGTCGTCGGCTGTACAGAAGCAGTTAGAACTGGCAGAGGAAGAGGCTAAACTAAAGGAACAAGAGCTCAAGGAGGAAGAAGAACTCCGACAACGCGAGCTCGAAGAAGCACAACGCCAGTTGGAGGAGAAGCGGAAGTTGCTGGACGAGGAGCTACG